CTGCAATAATTCACTTTGTAATGCACTCTGTGTGATAGCAAGGCCACCCACATCCCTGGTGTATGTTCACAGGCTTAATTCATGTGTAGAACCTGCAAATGGATTCTGAGCTTTCGCTGTCATCCAAAGCCTTCTGCAAACCAAGCGTTCAGAACTTAAGCTCTAGTACCATTCCTTCCTTTGGGATTGGATTTTCTTTTTTATAATCTTTGGATCACACGGGCTGATGGGCTTTTTTCATGTGGACTTAGTTGACACTTCACTTAGATGGCTGCTTGTTTGAAGACAAACTTTTATTATCTCAGATACTGTTCTTTCTGATATCTGGGGACCATATGATTTCTTCACCACACTTGGCCTTCACCTGAAGGCCACCCATATCTTCAGTGCTCTCCTCATGAGGGCAAGTATTAAGCAAGGGTCATATTATAGGAACCCATTCTTCTGGTTGTTACCCATTGAGCTGTGATCTGCATGGCGTACCGTTTGAAACCACCAGGTGGTCCCTGGGAGAAAGACAAGCTTTCTGCTCGCATGCACAGTTAGTGTCAGAAACCCATAGGGCAGTCTTCATGAATCAACATCGACTTAACGGCAGTGAGAATTGTTCTCAGATTAGGGCTATGATTAAGTGTGAGCTCAAAATCCATTCATATATCTATGGTTTAAATATGGCCCTGGTTCACTTGAGAGATATCATGGTCATTTTATTGGAGAACATTATAAATCATCACCATGGGACATAAGGTAATTCTATTGATAGTATCATTATTTAGTCAATGCTCTAGAATTTAAAACGCTCTTGGGGAAGGGAATTCTACATGTATAGGAAGCCTTTTATACCACAATACACAGACTGTTGACTTATACAGATTAAAACTTCACTTTATTTTTGAGAAAGGGTAGAAGAGTTTGGGGTGGGATTGACCTGAAGGCCACAAAAACTAAATGGTTTTAAGCCAGGCCAATGGTGGGGGGTTAGTGAGCTGGAGAGTGGCCATCCTTTTTTGTTCTGTGCCATTCTTATGTTTCTGTTCTAGAAAGGCACTCTGATTTGACTGTATATAACGGATTACAGTGGGGCAAGTCTCTGACAGGGAGGCCAAATAGACGTAAGCCTCTGAACCTGAAATAAGGTCATAGGGAGGAAGGAAGAACAGAGAGATTCCAGGGGTAAAGTAATTAAGAATAACAAGCTGGATGTTAGAGTGAATGTGGGATGCGAAAATTGTTCTACAAAGGGCTGGCCTTGGACCCAAGAGCATATATGGGTTCAGAGAAGGACTTCAAAAATTGTAAGATGGATGAAGGCAGGCATCAGGCAGTAGTAATTGAGAGAGTGCTGATGAAGTGACTTGTTTAACATGAAGATAAGGTTAGTATTGAAAACGAGAAGTCTTTGTTCTTCAAAGGCAAACTATGAAAACACCAGTGATGTTCTGAGTATTGTAGGGTTTTTGTTGTTGTTGTTGTTGTTGTTTTCCTGAATAAATTTGCTCCATGCACAGAACACTGGTTTGCTGGGCATTCTACATAGAAAATGCGATTTAACAATAATACTGTTTATCATCCCAGAAACCATTTCAGTGAGCCAAGGAAAAGGTCTGAAGATGTAAGACCCTTAACAAATCTATCTTTAATTTATATTTCTTTTTAACTTCAATAAATTTGATATGTATGATTCCGTAACATTGTTTCCAATAGCCAAGTTTGGCAATCATTCTCGCTACCCTTTGAAAATGATTCTATTTGCATTAGCTTAAAGTCACTAGCCTCTAAGCTCATTCTCTAACCTTTGAGTTGCTGTTCCCAATTTGATCCCATATAGATAAAGCACTGAGAGAGCACCATGTTCAAGGCAGATATATTTTACTAATGAAGCTAAATTGTAGTTTGGTTCAAAGCTGTCTCCCAGGAAAGTTTTGGTTTGAAGTTTAGGGTTGAAAGATTATCTCAGGGCAATAGTTTTGGTTGTTCATCCTGCCTTGGGTTTGGAAGGAAAGAATCCCATGTGAACTCACAGAGCATTTGTTATTATTTCTTAAGTTTCTCAGCTAAGGGACCATTGGACGGGTTTTATTATTTCTGGGGCAGGACTCTCCAAACACTTCATCTATTCTACAGAAATGAAGTAGCTGTTCTTATTCTGTGTTCCTCACTGGTATCTCTAGGGGTATTCTTTAGGAAGGATGGGTTTAGTGCTTGCTGTACAAAAGACAGTGTGCTAGAATCTGGAAATGTACAGATATGCATATTTAATTGGAAACATGACAAACAACAAACTGTTCAAGAAGCAATTGCAGAGGGGCACAGACCCAAACAACTCATTTCCCTGGGCAAATCAAAGAATGTTTAAGAAGGTGGTTTTCAAAGCTAGCTAGGCAGCCACCAGGTTAGGGACATCTGATTGACAGACAACTTGACAACTCCTTCTGGCCTTTTAAGCAGGACTTCAAACCAGTTTCAACTGGTTCTGTCATGGCCAAGGAAGCAGGAACACACCTGGAGTTTCACAGGTTGAATGACTTATCACAGTAACCTGAATGGGAAAACTACCTGGAGAAGTTTTGGAATGGGAGACTTAGAAGCATCGTGAACCTTTTCAAAAATGTCTTCCTTCTGGTTTCTACATTTTTCTTGTCGTGTTTTTTGTTTTTGTGTATGAAGAAATCTTTATTTTATTCATTTTTTCTTAAACTTGCTTCACATTTACTGAATGGTCCCCCCGCCCCACTTCGTGTAGGAATGTGATCTGGAGCTTTAACCAACAATTTGGGGAGCATCCTGACTAAATGCATACCTATCACAGATAATCACACACTCTGGCCTGGTCTCTGTGGAAATCCAAATGCTCTCAAAGCTTGTCTAGACAGAGAGCAAACAGACAGCATCATCTCATTTCTGCTTTTAACTTTAAACTTTAGGTTCAACGTTCACCGACCCCAACCGACAGATTTGGTTTAAATGAAACGGCCATTAAGAGTGAACTTGGTTACATAAGAGTTGGCTGAATCCTGCAGCCAGCACTTCAATGTAGCTACTGGCCCTCAGCAGACTGGCTAGAACCCGAGAAGCATGACAGGCAGAGAATGAAGAGAGGTTGCTCTGAGGTCAGGGCTGGACTCCCAGTGCTGTAAGGCTTCCGTGCCCCTCACGTACCAACACATACATCCTTCCAAGTTACTCCTCTCTAAACATGGTTTCCTGTAGCACTTCTTTTAAGTTTGTCACACCCTGTTCAGAGATGGACAGAAACTTATTATAAATATAAAAGGCATAACCTTATTTCTAACAACATAGACCAAAACTAATAGACATTCTGTTGCATAGAATATGAAGTCATACAAAGATCCAAAATTTAACCATGAAAGCTTAGAATAGTTTCTAAGTTAGGTACCAACTCTGGCCTCTAATATCAGTGTTACCAAGCTTCCCTTTGACTGTCAACATAACCAACATACTTCATTTCTACAACCTGCCCATGCTGCCTCAAAGAGCAGGGACTGTTTTGGTGCACTTGACTTTGGCTGCATGATGAGGAAGAAGTGTTGATAATGCCCAACAATGCACTTCTTTACGACTAAATCCAGACTCACCTAGTAAAACCCAGTTCTTAGTTTTTATATGATAGAGCAGCAGTTTATAATGCAAACAGATTGGCAAAAATTTGACAGATATTAAAAAAATAACTAAATGATTATGAATGAGCTAGAAGCAACTTTTAACTCTTGTTGAAACTTTATATCGGATTTACTATAATACCTCGCCCCCTGAAAATGTAGGTCAGAATACTATAGCTGTTGTTATTGTCAGGTGCTGTCCAATCAGTTCCGTCCTGGGACATACTTCTGAATTGTTTTTATGCTTAAATCTATTGTTGCAACTACCGTGTCAATCCACCTTGTAGAGGGTCTTTTTTTCCCCTTGCCCTTCTATTTTACCAAGCATGGTGTTCTCCAAGGTTATCTCTCAATAACATCTCTAAAGTACATGAATTAAAGACTAGCCATCCTTGCTTCTGAGGGATATTTTGATGGTACTTCTAAGAGATTTGTTTTCTTTTGGCAATCCATGGAACCTTCGATATTCTTCCCAAGCACCACAATTTAAATGAATTGATTCTTCTTAGGTCTTCCTTATTCAACTTCACATGTATATGAGACAATTGAAAATACCAATGTAAACTCAAAAGAAGTGCTACAGAGAAAGTTGGAGTTCAGAGAGGAGTCACGTGGAAGTTGGTATGTGTTGGTATGTGATGGTCCAAAGAAGCCTTCCAGCACTGGAACTCCATTTCAGAGTATCCTCTATTCATTCCTTGACTGTTTTAATTTGAAATGCCATAATTAATAAGGATAAGTTCCTCAATTAAAATGGTCATGCCTTTATCGAGTAATGCAACTACCCAATTCTAACCTTCAGATGATAAAATTATTCAGACTTTAATACTTGGGATATTAGTGACTATGCATACTTTCAAGGAAGATCCTCCGGGTCTAAGAATCGAATGTCTTATTTCAGGTGTTGGGGCTCGTTTTATAAAAGGAACACATGGAATTTGTAAAGGTAACTTTTTTTGGGGGGGTGGGGCTGGAGGCAGGACAGTGGGAATGAAGATGAAGTGTGAAAATCATAGCATATGTTTTATGATGTTATATTAATGTATGGCATGCTAGAATGCAAGAATATCCTCAACCTAATCTACATTCCAGCCATCCCACAACAGATTTCTCAAACTACTGCCATGTATGTGACAAGGCAACATCAGCTTGATATCAAGTTACAGCTTTCTCTATAGTTCACTTCCCAAAAGTATTATAAAGGCACACAAAAATGAAGCTGAAGCTCAGGAAACCTAACGAGCCTAGTACCGTTATATATTTAAAAAAAGATACAAGGCAGTTACATTTTGTATATGATAAAATGTAAAACAGATATAACGCAGTTAAGTTTGGTATCTGCTAAGATGTAAAACATGTTCCATACATTACCTATATCCCAGCTTTGCACAGTGGCAATATCATAGCCAATGAGGTTTACGGGAGGCACGGTTATTGCTAATTGAAAACATTACCTATATCCCTTTCCCTAAAGACATCTTTAGTATATGCTTTTTCTAGTTGATATTTAGATCCAAGTGCACAATTTAAAGGTTTCTAGTTGACAGTATTTTAATATAGACACTGCTGGACTCAATCAGTGTCTATTTCAGGAAGTGGCTTGTCAGAGTCTGAGGGCACAGCTGTTTTGATTTTCTGTTCAGCAGCCTGCAGGCCTGGGCTGTGGCCGGGCCATTCTGCTCTGCAGGTATTTGCTCCTCTTTGGGAGGTCCCACTTCAGGTTTGGACTTTGAAATGATAGGACCTCAAACAGTTATTTGAAAGGATAGATCCATCAAAGACCCAGGACAAAAAAGCATATCATTGTGAATGAGGGGGAGCACAGAGTGGAGGCCCAAAGCCCATCTGTAGACAATTGGACAGCCCCTTACAGAAGGGTCACAAGGAGGAGATGGGCCAGTCAGAGTGCACGTATAGCACAGTTGGAACATACAACTTTCCTCTAGTTCTTTAATGCTTCCTCCCCGCCATCCTCATGATCCCAACTCTAGCTTACAAATCGGGCTGGACCAGAGCATGTACATGGATACAGATATGGGTACAGATAAGAGCTAGAAACCCAGGAAATCCAGGACAGATACATCCCTCAGGACTGACATTGATTTTCAAAACATTTTCTTTCTACTTGAGCCCTTGATATCAGCTCCTCATTTTTTCCCTCCTTCACAAACCCTTGATAATTTATAAATTATTATTATATCTTTATGTCTTAGACTGACCGATGTCTCCCTTCACCCACTTTTCTGTTGTCTGTTGCCCTGGGAAGGGGTTATATATAGATCGTTGTGATCAGTTCCCCATCTCCCCACCCCCAACTCCCCCTACCCTCCTGGCTCATACAGCTCTTATCATAATACATACATACATACATTGTGTCAAGCACATCTGTACATTTGTTGCCATCATCATTTTCAAAACATTTTCTTTCCACTTGAGTCTTTGGTACCAGCCCCTCATTTTTCCTTCCCTCCCTTACCCACCTTCCCTCCCACATGAACCCTTGATAATTTATGAATTTTTATTATTTTTTCATGTCTTACACTGACCGGTGTCTCCCTTCACCCACTCATACATTGAAGTTTCAGTATCATCTAGTTACAAAGAAAAAGAGATTGTTCATATGCATTCAAAATGTTTTCATAGTCATCACTGTTTGTCTTTCATTTTGCACTCATATTTCCCACTGTATTCATAACATCATTCCATCTCTTCTCAAATCTATCCTGCACAATCACCTTATTATTTTCAATGTACACATGGTGAGTATTTCTCTATATATCTGCCATGACAGCTGATTCTCAAGCAGGCTCACAGTACTGGTCTACATTTTTACCTTCTTGGCTTGAGGTGATTGGCCCATTTATTCATAGTTCCAGATAAATCAACATCAATCATAAAACATTTGATGTCTGACAGATTTGTACTCATCACTCTCTTGAGTTTCTCACACTGCTGAGAACATTGTAATAATGCATAGCTTATGGACTTTATGCCTAGCTTGTATTCTCAAATTCTTCATGGAAGTGATTGACTAACACCTCATCAAAATTTCTTCTTCCCGTATTGGATTAATTGCAGTGGCCAGAACTTTTATTTTTCTTCTATTGAATATACTTATTGAACATAGAAACTTAATAAGCAGAATGCCCCATGTCTATAGAAACTATATTTCTTGGTTTTCCTTTGAAGGTAGGGAGATCTCATTTGTAAATTCCTATATACTAGAAACTGACATAGTATCACTAACAATATTATTCATTAATCATAGAGCATTGAGACCAGCAATCTGTGTTGTATCTATCATTGATGTTTTTTCCTGGATCCACATAAAATCAAGAAACCAAAACATAATTATGCCACCTCCCTTACAATTTGAACAAGAGGTTGATGGCCATTTTCTCATTGGTAAATTTTTGTTCTTTATTTATTTATTTCACATACTTTATAACTCTTAATCCAGTGGACAATTCAGCAATACCACATAAAAGGTTAGATTTTTCTGCCTCCACAAGTGAATCTGACCATGCTCGGTCATAGAGTCTTTTAAAACCATTGACATTGGCTCTTTTGAATTGGAAATAACCTAGATTTCACCTGCTGCTTTAATTAAATGATTCTTAGGATGTAAAGAAATGCAAATTGGTATTCAGGTCACTATACTCATTATTTATCAGCTCACAGCTGACCAACAGTGTATAAGGTAACAGTTCGAGGAGCCTAAATCTATGTCCACCACATACGACCTCCTATTGCTGAGGCCAGTCCAGAGAGACAGGACACAGACCCCAGTGGCGTCAGAGTGCATAGAGCAGGCAGATTCGAGAATCAGGACTAGTGGGGACAAGCATGGTATACCAATTTTCTTGTAAGGATATGGGCCTTTGGACGACTGACTGCAGAAATGGGATCCACTAAGCACAGCTCTGACTCAGTGGCCACAGCTTGGGACTGTGCATTTTTTCAAGAGATCTTCTCCATGGAATCGTATACCTATGCCCCAAACCAGAATGCCAAAAGGTCACTAGACATCCTCCCCAGAGTTTCTTAATTCACGTGGCCTTCTTGGACTCATCCCAGGTCCATCTTAGGGCCTTATCATCCATCAGTGCATGTTTCATGATGCAGCTTCATGATGACCACATTCTTCTTTTTTTTTAAACACTTTATTAGGAACTCTTACATATATCATTACAATCCATAGTTCCATTAGATCAAGCATAGTTGTACAATTGCTGTCATCATCATTTTCAATACATTTTCTTTCTTCTTGAACTCCTTGATATCAGCTCCCCTTTATGCCCTCCCTTCCCGACCCTGAAACCTCCCTGAATCCTTAATATATTATTATTTTTTTTATTGCTTTTTGCCATAACTTACACTTTCCAATGTATCCATTCACCTAAAAATGTGCTGTTCGTTTCCCTCAAGTGAGTTTATACAGTCATGTTGCTATTAGTTTCCCCCTCCCCACTCTTTCCCCACCTCTCTTCCTATACCCTCAGGGAATCATTGCTCCATTACAGTTTCTGAGGGGTTTTTGTATCTTGGATTTCATGCATCAAAAGACCTTAATCAGACCAATGTACATATGCAGGTCTAGCAAGATTAGTGAGGTAAAACTGAGGCCATAATAGTGGAAGCAGGAAATTTTAAAGAACTAGAGGATAGTTGTGAGTTTCATCAGTGCTCTGCTGCACCCTGGATATATTGTCCTTTCCATTGGACCCTTCTGTGAGGGACAGTCTAATTATCTTACAGGTGGGCATTGGGTCTCCAACTTTGCCTATGTTCCTTCACATCAATTTGATTGCTTGTTTTTGAACTTCTGATACCTCTTCCTGTTGACACTGCATGATCACACAGGCTGGTGTGCTTCTTTCTTGTGGGCTTTATTGCTTCTCTGCTGGATGGTCGCTTGTTTAACTTCAAGTCTTTAAGACCCCACATACTATATCTTTTAATAGCCAGGAACCATCAGCTTTCTTCACATTTGCTTATGTACCCATTTTGTCTTCAGTGGTCGTGTTGGAAGGGTGAGTGTCATATATTGCCACATTATTAGAACAAATCATTCTTGTATTGAGATAGGGTTTAAGTAGAGGTCCAAAGTCCATCTGCTTCCTTATTGTATTGATATATAATACATATATAGATAAGTAAATCTATATTTATTCATATGTTTACATATATACACATTCATATTTATAACTATATATAATTTTTACTTCCTCGTTGTTTCCTCTATGTTTTTTTTCTTTCCTCTTGCCCCACTATAATGTTCACCCATTGTTTGCCTCTTGGTAATTCCTCTCTGTTACATCTCAATTGAACAAACATCACCTGGGACCCTACATCCTCCTCACCATCAATTTTAGATCCTTTTTGGTGGTTGAGATAGTTAAGGTTTATTATGCCAACCTGGCCAATAAACACGTGGGATTAACTGAAGGGCGGAGAAATAAATGGCTTGGTGAGCCTCGCCTTTCTAGTTCTCGGGTCTCTTGCTTTCTTATGGTTGGACCAATGTACAGCTGCCTTAGCCAGTTCCCTGCTTCAGCTTACAAGGCTCACTTCCTTCAAGACATCCCTGGAGGAGAAGCCACATGGGCCTACCCTGATGCAGCCCTGGGTGTTGGACCCCTACCAGCACTGAGATGCTTACATGCTCCCTGATTCGGCTTTCCTCACACAGTTGGGGTCATTGCGTGTGTTTTGTGAGATTGAAGAGGACTTTGTAGATTGATGTTGTACATCTGGGCTAGTGTTGGACTTAAGGGCTTGGGCATCACTGCGTAGGGATGTTTTCTTAATGTACACTTAACCTATATATAAAACTCTCTTTTATACATATGATTTTTTGTTGATTTGTTTCCCTAATTTACCCAGACTAACACATAGGGTAACTTGATTTCCATTTGCTTTAGGTATTGCCAAATCACTTTCCACAATGGCTGCATGTATCTACAAGACCACCAGCAGTGGATGAGAATTCCTGTCTCACCACACCCTCTCCAACATTTGTTGTTTTCTGATTTTTTTAATTAGGATATCTTTGAGGGTGCTAGGTGGTATCTCACAGTTGTTTTAATTTGCATTCCCAGATGGCTAATGTTTGGGAACATTTTCTCATATGTATATTGGTCATTTGGATTTTCTCACTTATGAATCTTCTGCTCTCCTATCTTTTGCCCTCCGCCTCAGTGCACAATTCTCTTTTTTTCTTATTATAAGCTTGCAGAGTTTTGCAGATTTTAGTAATAAGCCCTTTTTTCTGATATGTCATTGCTAAATATATTTTCCCTGTCTGTAGTCTCTCTGATTACTCTCTTGAAGAAGACTTTTGATGAACACAGGCTTGTTATATTTAGTATGTCCCCCTTGTTTATTTTAGTTTCCACTGAGTGAACATTTTCCCCTATTTCTGGTAGCCTATGTGATCCCTGCACCAAGGCTTTTAGGTTTTTCTCACTTTTCATAAATTTACTCATGATGACTCTCAACCCGGGAAAATAAT